ACGAGCTCCACTGCGTCCTGTTAAAGCCCCAGCTGCCAGGCGTAGATTTGGATGCAAGTCTCCGTTTTTTCACGGCGAAGCAGCACTGATGCATGAGCCTGCCAAGATGGGGGGCTCATTTATTGGGGGATCCAAGCTTTTCATTGGGGAAAATGCACCCAGCGGTTAGAAGCTCTATCCTTTCTTTACAGAAACACATCAAAGAGCATCACGAAGAGGTTCGGGAGAGGCCCTGTCCCCATCCTGGCTGCAACAAGGTGTTCATGATTGACCGGTACCTACAGCGTCACGTGAAGCTCATTCATACAGGTGCGTCCCAGCGGGCTCTGCTCACACCAGGCGACGGGCGTTACAAACGCCCAACGGTGCATTGCACAAGGCTTGCGCAAGGCGTAGAGCGGCCTGCCTTGCCTGTAAACCTGGAACAGACCGTCACGTGGGGGACGCGAGGCAGGGGGAGGAATTCAGACTCCACCAGTAAGCGCGTATGCATTTCACGTACGAAGAAATGGGCAGAATCCATGACTCTCTCCCTTCCCTTTTTCCATTGCAGAGGTACGTAATTATATCTGCGATGAATGCGGGCAGACCTTTAAGCAACGCAAACACCTCTCGGTCCACCAGATGCGGCACTCGGGAGCAAAGCCCCTCCAGTAAGTGCACACCGACCGCGTGTTCGTAGCCAAGGGAAGGGGTAGTGAAGTTCCGCTGAGCTCTTGCAGCCGCTGACCGTAGCGCAGAGTTAATTCTCAATACAAAGCCATAGCTGGCAGCGTCCTGGCCGAATCGCTTTGAATGTTCACCCACAATGCGTGCTCGAGCTTCCCGTTGCTGAGCAAGTCTCCCACCTCTTCCTATTCCTGTTGCCCTTCGGAGCGCAGCAGGCGAATGCTCGGCTACCAGCGACGAGCTGCAGGCCTGGGGAGGAGAATCGGGTGGCGTGACCGGGGTAGCTGTAGGAGATGCTATGAGCAAGCAGCTCCGAGGCTGCAGTCATCTTCTCGTGGGCTGTCTGCGTGACAAAGAGCGAACGCCACGGCTGTGGCTTCAGGCTCGGTGCTAAGCCCCTGCTTTGCCTTGCAGGTGCGAAATCTGCGGTTTCCAGTGCAGACAGCGAGCGTCGCTCAAGTACCACATGACCAAACACAAAGCTGAGACAGAGCTGGAGTTCGCCTGCGACCAGTGTGGGAAGCGCTTCGAGAAGGCCCATAACCTTAATGTCCACATGTCCATGGTGCACCCTCTGACCCAGACTCAGGACAAAGCCAAGCCACTGGAGCCGGAGCCCATTCTCCTAAATACTTCAGGGACTTCAGAAAGCCAGGCGGTAAAACCAGAAGTGACTGCACAGCAGGAGCCCACCTGAGGGGGACAGGGACGCTTTCCCAGTCCAGCCCTGTAGAAACCGTACGGCGGAGTGGAGATTTTTTTTTTTAATCTACATTTTAGTCTCCCAAAGAACTCAGTGGAATTAGCTTCAGCTTGCTCAGAAAAAGCTTGTTATGCTGTGATTCTCCATGCTCACGTCTGATTCAGCAGTGTTGTACTAAGAGTCTGTCTAATCCCAGGGGAATGGATGTTCGGCAGCACCCCTTCGTGGTCCCCCTTCTCCCCACGCACACAGTTGTAGAAACAGAGCTGGCCACAACTGTTCCCTGCCTGCACAAGCTGCTGCCTGTACAGAAGTGCCCTCAGGTGGCTGTAAGGGTACATAGGACAGCGAAGCAACTTTAAGCAGACATTTTGGTTTGGAAAAAAAAAAAAGTTAAAATTCCCAAAGCAAGTCTAAACTGAAATTTGTAACCTACTTTTTATTGTAACAAGAGCTTCATGGTTATGCTTGTAATAAATTATTTACAAAGTAATTTCAAAGAAACAGCACTGGTGAGAAAGGTTGGCACCTTGTCTGTCCTTTCAGCCGCAGTCAGGGGGTTCTCAGCTTGCCGTGCCGGTGCCTGCCCGTCGCTCAGAACAGGGCCAGCTCTTCGTCCAGCTCCATGGCCATTGCAGGCCTGGAGACGTGCAGGAGGGTGGCTCCCAGCTCCGGGTCGAGTTCTTCACACGTGTCCAGTAGCTGGGGAGAGGGCACGCAGCCAGCGTTAGACCTGCTCGCGCTTCCTCAAAGTGAGTTACAGCAACGCTCGATTGTATTGCTGCTTCTCCGTAAAGTAGGGGTAGAGAAGGAAGCTGTTGCAGACTTACAAAGAAATAACGCGGTCTCCTGGCTAACAACACAGCACTTGTGGGGAACTTCAAGACCTGCCACTTAGCCGTGCTTGATATTTCCCCCGAGCCCAGGCGTTAAAGCAAGCAGTGGAAGCGAGACCATGCGAGGGCAGGGTTTAATGTTGCGGAGAAAGGTGCAGGCCGGGAGAGGGAGGCTGTGGCTATGGCACTGATTGAGCAGCCGGTGTCCTCCACCACTCCCAGGTGCGTCATGGAAATGCAGTGTGTGTCAGGGTTAAGCAGGCAGCACCGGGGTATGGGATCGGTGCGGCAAGAAAGGCTACGTGAGCTGGCACCGAGCAGCAGCAGCGCTCCCAGCTCTCGCATGTCCGGAGAAGGGGGGGGGTGGGGACAGAAAAGAAAAAAAAAACTTAAACAAAAAACCTGAACACACCATCTGTATGCTTCCAAAGCTTTGGGCAGGGCATCGCGGGATCGCACCAAGCAGGAACCGCCGGGCCGTGGAGATCACCTCCAAGGGATCCCCCTGGAGAACATGGAGAAGAGACACGGCCGATCAGGGCCACGCGCAATTTTCAGCTCTCAGTCCCTGCCTCCAACAGCGAAACAGGAACTGCTCTGCCGCACCTAGGGGCTATTCACGGGTTCAGCA